GTTTGTCAACAAAATGGTGCTTGACTCTTGAGACAGGTTAAATTACACCATATTGTTAATGACTTTGAGCATACATTTTTTAAATATCTCCCCGAAGTAAAAGTTCTGTACGTAGTACTTATTATTATTCTGTGGTCCAGCGCTTAACTCCGTTAGTGTGTAAGGTATGGAAGCGGCACGAGAGGGTGTTTTTGAGACGTCAAATGTCAGCAGGACTTCAGATTTGTATATTATTATGTCACCGTAAAATTGTGAATTCCGTCAGATTATAATCTGACGTAGTTAAATTACAATCTAACCTAACCTAACCCACTGTTAGTTTACAATCTATCGCGTTATATTATAAACTCATAGTACACAACACGCTCACATGCTCACCTAAGAGAGTACAATGCGCCAGAAAAGTCTAGGTATTTTTTAAGCAATAAAGAGTAGATTTTATTTCATATTGTTAAGTGTTACATTTTTATGTAAAAGTTTATTAATGTTTATGGTGAAATGCCAATGTTTATTGCGTCCCTGGTGACGCTCTTTTCAAAATGGTTTCTACAGAATACCAGCATCATGTTCTTTACGGAATATGATACAAGCTGAGTAGGAGCCATTTTGGTTCAACAATTTATCTATAATTAATAACCAAATTGTGTAACATTACTATGTTTGAACCAAATAAACAATTTTTCTTTCTTTCTTTCTTTCTTTCTTTCTTTCTTTCTTTCTAGTTCACAATTTCACGTTGACATATACATTATTAAACCTCCCATGCCACACCTATTTATCTCAGGCACTGACTGAGTTCAAATTCAAATTATTTATTTAGTTAAGCCCTAGACCTAAGTAGTTTAGCAAGAGACCCTAGACTTAAGCAACTTATTGTTAAATAGTCAGCAACCCATAACTTGTACCACACACTAACTTTCGAATACACCACTTACCTGGACGCCCGGTTGCGGACGTNACCTAACAGTGTAAGAAGAGTTCAGAGGCACGCGATTGAAAGAGACAAAACTTGTAGGTGAATAAAATTGTAGGTACGTAGTGCTGTGCGAGCTGAATTCCACTGTATCGCGTCGTAGCAAGACTCGCATTTATTTAAATCGTCTTGCGGAGTAATCCTTCTGTACCTGTACTATTACTTATTCTGTGTTGCTAGCTAGCTTGTTGTGTTTTAAAAAAATCTCATCTAAATGTAAACTTATTTTAGCCAATGGAAATTTTAATAATAGACGTTCTTGCGCTGCTTCTTCTCAGCACTGGCCCACTTAGGTATTATCCTGAAGTAATGTTAGGGTGAAAGTTATAACCGGGACCGAGTAAAAGCGCTTTAAAAAGCCTATTTTGCATAAAATAAGTTCTTTATTTCTAGAACATCTTAAGTCATTCTTAGTTCTAACTTATCTCCTTGTAATCTGTTTAATTGTATGTTGCAACCAAATAAATGTTTTTCCTTCTTTCTTAAGTAATTTTTACTTGAGCGTTAAACACTCGCCCATGTGCACCACGCCTAAGGCCGTCAGTATGCCATTATCGCAGGTCAACTCAATTGTTTATAACCCTCGCGATAGGCGATAGCGTTATCACTCGCTTACAATACGTCATGTGTATCTCTCGTAGGTATAACATGTGTTTGCTCAATTGCAAAAGGAGGGTAATGTTTTGACGAGTGTGTGTCGTTCACACTCATTAATGGAATACGTGGATGTGGTATAATAAAATAGTATCGTATTTACTGGCATTCAGAATAACTTTATACGTATTTCACGAATACAAAATGTGTATTAAAAAATGCGAAATATCAAATGTGTATATGTATGTATATATTAATATATTTTATGTTATTTGTATGTATTATTTTGGGTTAAATTTTACACTTTTGTTTATTATTATTTATTTCATTAGTGTCGNGCATTTATTTAGATCGTCTTGCGGAGTAATCCTTCTGTACCTGTACTATTACTTATTCTGTTGCATTGTGCAGTTTGCCCTTCAGCTAAAAGTAGTGAACAAAAGATGCGGAATGTGGTTGTGACAAATCAAAGATGGAGAAATAGCGTGTATTGGGAGACTATATCCAGCTGTGGACTGTAGTCCCACTACTTATAGGCGAGACGTACCTTTGAAAACGGACGGAGCTTTCAAAATTTTATTAATGAAAAATCCCTATCTCCCCATTTTAACGAGATCGTGTGTGTCTCTACAATACAAATATTGCGTACCTACCTACTAGGTCTTTTACAGAGACGGTCTGTATTCTGTCATAACTTTATAAAATAAAATAATAAATGATGCCTATGATTTGAGTTTCGGGTAGGTACTCTATGCAGTCATTCTAGCCAATGAGTCATATAATGTGTATTATACTGTCATATCAGACGTCTATGGCAACTCATATACTTAGGTATACCATGTCGTGACCTCCCGTGCTATTATAATATTCCGCTCTTGGAGAACGTACGAGAGCAGTCCAATAATACAAAGGTGAAAGAGTATTTAACCCCTAGATGCGGTAGCAATTATCGAATTCATTTGCATAATACATGGTAGGTATTTAATTGATTTATTTAACTATGTAAGTACTTTGATAAAGGTGAAATTAGATGCGAATTAATTGATCCCTATGTAATTCTTTAAGGTCATTGTCACCTGTGGCTGTGATGCCTATAACTTTAGTGGTAAGTAGGTACGTGTGTTATTATTAGATCAAGCATTAGAGGATGACGTCCTTGGCTAAGTAACGCGTGTCGATATGGATGGCCGGAGCAATGCCTGGAATATAGATTACTCGTACTAACTCTACGACACTAGTATTGTATGAGCTTAATAGATGTCACTGAGCGTATTTAAACCGCGCATCTTTGATTTAATAGATAATAAGTAGAGTTCACCTAAAGAAGTGATTTCGAAATAGAATTGGTCACCAATGTCACATTGCTTAGAAGGCGGTTAAGGGCATAGGTGCGATGTTCGTTAGTAGGAGCATTTTAACCTCATAGGAACAGCTAGTGTGAAGATATTTTTTATTCGTTCGTTCGTTCGTTTCAGCCAAATGATGTCCACCGCTGGACAAAGGCCTCCCCCAAGAAATTTGGTTTCGGACCGGTCGTTATGTAGAAAGCCATGGGGGAACGGGACTGTTCCCACCTCTCGTTACCACCGCTGCAACTCCTGTATAGCCAGGATCTACAGCTCGACCGCCAACAAAACCCAACCAGTGTGCTTACCATGAGTTTACGTTAGGTGTGTTCGCTAGCGACTGCGTAAAAAAATGACATTAAATGTATGACATATTGCGTAGCGCCCCTAGCGGCTACTTTCAAGAAATAAAATCTTCATAGATTTTTTTGACGTACTCGCCGTTTGGTGTAGTTGGTCGGCCGTTTGGTGTAGTGGTTCGAAACGGACTACTATTCCGGAGGTAGCGGGTTCGATTCCCGCACAGTACAAACATTTGTGTGCATGAACATATCTGTTTGTATTGGACTGGGTGTTTCCTATGTATCATCATCATTTCAGCCATAGGACGTCCACTGCTGAACATAGGCCTCCCCCAATGCTTTCCATGTTGATCGATTGGCAGCGGTCTGCGTCCAGCGCTTCCCTGCTACCTTTACGATGTCGTCGGTCCACCTTGTGACCACCTTATCCTATGTAAAATAAGGATGTATTTACAAAAAAAAAGTATTTAAGTATGTTTATATCCGTTGTCTAGTACCCATAGTAGGTACAAGCTTTACTTAGTTTGGAACTAGAAGCGCAGTGTAAAATGTCCAAGGATATTTATTTATTTATTTATAATTTATGACGATATGTGACAAACTAAATTTCACGCGGGTGAAGCCGCGGGCAAAAGCTAAATCTGCCGCCTTTTGTATCTGACCCTTGAGCTAACCATCTAGCGAAAGCTTCTTTAGATGTTGGTCGAAGCCCGAAGATTAGCCCGTTTGCCGAGACATATTATTTAAAAAAGTAGAGATGATAATAATATAAAATCTGTCAAATTAGGCGTAACTGGATCTGGGTAAGAAAGTCTGGGACAACACCATAGACGTAGACTGACGTAACAAATTAAACTTGTCGGGCAAAAAATTGAACTGTACATAGGTACAATGTAATGTTGTAGGTATACCACAATAAATAAAACAAAATAAAACTGGTAGCAATGGTTGACTTTGAAAAATTGTTTACATTACTTTCACTAGGTACAGTCAGCGTCAAATAGTTCGAGACACCAAAGGGGCCAAAAAGTTGACAACGCAACCTTATTTCTATCGTAACAAAGACGTGTTGCGAACTTTTTGGCTACTTTGGATGTCACCAACTACTTGACGATGACTGACCTAAATAAATCTCGCTCCTAAAAAAAACCAGCTCGCACTAAGCGTTTCGATGACTCTTTTATAATGCGAACAGCTAGGGATTGGAATTCGTTGCCTGCTGCTGTCTTTCCCAAAAACTATAATCCGGGCCTCTTCAAGGCGAGAGTGAATAAGCACTTACAGGGCAGATATGTACCATCCTAGACTGCATCCCACTTAACATCAGGTGCGATTGTGGTCAAATACCTGCTTTGTTATGCATAAAAAAAAACTTAATTGGGTGATTGAAATACTGAAACCTTGTATCTTGATATTATGTAGTCATGACAACAAATACAATTATGCCCAGAAAACCTATCTCAATGCAACGCAGTACCATAAATCAATCAATCATAATCGTACTTTTATAAATTACTACTATTATTAACATACCGCCTTTGATATTTTTAAATCCCTTTTTTCCATTCCCGGCTAATTTACTCGTATTTTTAAATTTCAGCTTCTACCAAAATCGGTTCTATAAACTTTCTATATTTTCGCTGTTTCTTTGCATTTTCAAATTGATTCCACGCATTCATTTCTAAAATATGTTTAACAGATATCTTATTGTGCTTTGGGGGAATTTTTCAAAATGACACGGAACCCAAAATGATCTATGAAGTCAGGTCACGTTTAGATTAAAATACCCCTCGCCCGAGTCTAGCGCACAGTGGAGCGAGGATAGTGACGCTCGGCGCCCGCGCACAAAACGCACACACGTATCAGGCGGATTAGTTCTCGCAACTCGCGCTCTTAGGAATGGACAAATGACAATCATAACTTAAAATAAGCTTGAAAATTATGTTTTTATTTAGATGATCAGAGAGCAAAGCATTTGAAGTGCGTGGACTCAGTGAAGACAATATGTGTGATAAAATGAAGTTACTGTTCGTCTGTTTGGTGGCGCTCGCGCACCAAACTGCTTCCGAAGATGTGATCTACTCATTAACTAGTAAGTATGGATTACATTTCATTCTGTTACTAATATTACCTACATCTGACGTAGTAGCCTTAAGCGCCGGTAATAATTTCGGCTACGGCTATTGATTGCCTCCAGGCACTAAGTCCGTCGATTGTAAATATTTTGGTGCAAAAACAAATAATAGAGAGCTACTGACTTCGTGAATAAGGATATTTATCTTTTTTGGATGTAGCCTACTTATTGTAACCTAGCAAAGAATGCGTTAGATCAAATTGGAAAAATCTCAACTACTTTTAAAAACATCGCTCTTCATTGTTGTAAGATACTTTAGTCCTCAATAACTCCCTATCAAGTCTAACTAATGAGTAGTTATTCTCTACGATAACAAAAACAAAGAGTTCCTAATTAACGTAGTGGATGATAGACGTGGTGATTTCGAACTTTTACTTTGGGAAAAAAGAAAATTTTCAAATATGACGCTGAAAACTGTAAAAAATGATAGTCACTGCTATCATTAATTTCAGTTCAGCAGCCGGTTCTCTGTTAAGCTAATATTATGTAGCAAGAGCATAGCAGTAGATACAGATAATAATAAACAATCATACTTTGCTATTTAGACAAGTCTAGAACTAGGCCTTGGCCGAGATGATCTCAGGATATTGCCAAATGTAGACATTAGTAAAAGAGTTACGAGGAAAAATGACTGTTTGCTATCCACAGACGTAGGCACTCATAATATGTTGCAAGAAAGTTGTCTGTACTTACTAAGAAATAATTTCAATTACCATTTTACGCTTGTATAAAACATAAAGCTTAAGTAAACTTAAATGTATACAACCCTAAGGCTGAAAGCACAAGGGAACATCTTTTGGGAAAGTTCACTAATTCTTGAGCCTCTTGGTTGGTGCAGATGCTTTGTAAGTTTGAAAGTGGAATGATGACTTTTGTTGTTATAAACATCTGAAGCTTTTTATAAGCTTGTAAGCTCTACGATGGCAGAGTCTTAAGAAAATCGAGACATATGCGACCCTACAGTGAGCTAAACTGTGAAGCTTAGATTTCCAGAATGCCGTTCATGAAGTCGGACTTTAAAAACCGGCATAAGTGCCTACCATAGCCTAACTGAAATGACCTAGCAAGCCTCTCTCAAAGGCATATTACTTAAACAGACAATCAGGTATTGACCTGATTGAGGATATTGGTCCCAGCCACGCTGGAAACAATTACATACCCGAAGTGATTTTAACTTGGGAACACGTATAGTCTTACTCTCTTTAATAAAACTCAAGAACAAGCAGAAAGGCAAATCGGTAAACCTTAACACCTGTGCTTAAACACGTAATTTCCTGTCTACCAATAACATATTTCAGTAGATCGTTCTGCCAAAGTTTGCTATGACATAAGTGCTAACCAACCAACCAAGATAACCACGAATTATTATACTTGCACCTTGCACAGCTTTCATATCATTATCATCATCTCAGCCATAGGACGTCCACTGCTGAACATAGGCCTCCTCCTTTGCTTTCCATGTTGCCCGGTTGGAAGCGGCCTGCGTCCAGCGCCTTTACGTACCTTTCATATCGTAGCAGATGAAAATTGAACCTGCGACGATCAATCTCCTCACGTGTGGAAGTACCATTAATTTAATACAATGACCCTGATACATTATACAACGAACGACATAATCACATACACGGTCAACGAGGTACCTTACAATCTTATGGAATTAATTAAAAAGATGACCCTAGACTAGAATGCAGTCAATTTACCAAAACTTGCTGCAAATAAACTACCAAAAGCTTCCAAAACTACAATGTAAATCAACTAAAAAAACACATAGTGGCAGTGCAATGAAAGTACCTAATCCTTTAGTTCTTGTTTCAAGTGCATGTCGAAAAAACAAAATAAGCACAGGGCTATACGAGCTCAATGAGTTCTTTCTAAGCTCTTAAAGATTGTGGTTTTTATTTACAAAATAAACTGGTTTTGTTTGAGTTGATTAAACTATATAGGTACAACTCAAGATCAACTTTCGTAACTAATGTCGTTCCCGCGTCAGTGTTACCTGTGTTGCACAACTTTGTTATTGAAATTTGATAGTATTATGTAAATTATGCATCAGCGAGCCTTGTTCTAATAACGCCTAGATATCAACACACAGTTGAAAATTTAAAATTATTTTTTAGTTTAGTTATGTAGCTATAAATATGATATTGTCTGTCCGTTTGTTCGTTGAGCCTGTAATTGTCTACGTTTTTAATAAACCACGAACTGTAGGAACTTCGGTGAATTATCATAAGCATTAGGTACTTCAATTGTTAAAAAGCTTGCATCTCTTTTAGCTATTCATATTTTCTTCCTTAAAAACTTATTTATTAGCTATTATCAAGCTTAACTATGTTTCAGTTGTTATAATTTACGAACGTGTTTCAATAATTTCCCGACCTCTGTAAGCACGAAAACTACAAAATACTCTTTATGAGGCCTTGGAGATGGCACAAGGTTTTTGGCATGTGCATGTTAACTTCTATTTGATAATATTCCGATTATTTGGTGTTAATTAATAGTTAAACGAACGTCAACTTGTAATTTTATGTTACTCCGCAAATACCTACATGTATCGTGAAATAAAAACATGCATAATGTGACTTACGGATGTTGAAAATATTATTTTTGCTACGTATTTACACAAGTCTTAAATCTCGAAAAAAACAAGTAGGAACAAACAAATCGTTTGCTGAATTAATTCGATCAGGAATTAATAAAATACAGTCATATTCGTTACAAGGCAATTCACTTGTGTCCAATACCATCATCATCATCATCATTTCAGCCACAGGACGTCCACTGCTGAACATAGGCCTCCCCCAATGCTTTCCATGTTGATCGATTGGTAGCGGCCTGCGTCCAGCGCTTCCCTGCTACCTTTACGATGTCGTCGGTCCACCTTGTAGGTGGACGTCCCACGCTGCGTTTTCCGGTACGCGGCCTCCATTCCAGAACCTTTCTGCCCCATCGGCCGTCAGTTCTGCGTAGGTACTATGTGCCCTGCCCATTGCCACTTCAGCTTGCTAATACGTCGGGCTATGGTATATGGTATCGGACAATGGCATATTGCTAATACGTCCAATACCATACTGCCATCGTAATGATAATATTTATTGTCAATACGATTAATCTTAATTGAGATTAATATAATTTTATTTGCCTCAAACACACACTTTTTGTTCGATAAATTAACTACATAGCTACTGTTCACTGTTTGGGAAGCGGTCTATTCTTATCATTTTCCTAACTAGCATCAAAATTGATGGGCCTTATAATTCAAAGCTTGATTATTCTTAAAAAGCCATCATTGTACTTGAGCATGCAGCTTGGACGTCCATCCACAAGGTGGACTAACGACTTGATAAAGGCAGCAGGAACCGTGCGATGTGGAAGCCATTGGGGAAGGCCTATGTTCAGCAGTGTCCTGTGGCTGAAATGATGATAATGATGTTGATGATGATTCTCAGGCTAATGAGCGGCTCAATATTAGCTGAGCCGATGCTCAAGTGGATCTTTGGATAAAAATATTTAGTATCAACTAGAATTTACACAGTTTGGAATTACACAATTCCGCTGATATTTTACGTATCATAATCTTATGCAAGGTGTTTATAACTGAAAAACGAATAACATTTTTTAACAATTTTCATTCTCAAGATGTTTATGCAAATGCGCCGGATAGAGTATTCAAGCAAACGTTTCAGAGGTTAACAATGTACTTTTTTTGCTTGTCATGGTAACGTCTACAGTACTTAAGACGCAGAAAAGTCGAATTTCAATCAAGAAACACACATTATTCGCGTTGGTATTGGTGACTATTACATAATTATAAGGCCCGATTCGACCAAACTTTTAGCCGAGAATAACTCCTGGTATAACTGACACATTGACAGTTTCAGTATGGGAAATATGTCAAAACTGGCGATTTATTCAGAAATTGAACTTGTTACTTCAATTTTATTTTACATTTTTATCAAATTATACAAAGTACTTTTTTTTGCACACCACTTTAGTTTCTGAGATTAATATTTACTCTTGTTTGGTCGAATCCACCCTTTAAACAACAGCTTAGTTACTGAACAATTTTTCTATTAACAAGGAAATGTCTATGATGATTTTATACCTGATTAGTCAGAGTCCTATTTAGCTACAAGTTTAAAGTTAGTCATAGAGTTAAAAGATTTAAACATAAATAAAAAATTTAATGTTAGTTGAACATGATACCTACATCAACATGATACTTTTCGTATGTACGAGTATGCACGTGAGACGTGACTATTCATAAGGTAGGTAAGTAAATGTAAGAATCTATTGTGTACTGTACACGCTCGCGACCCTTCAGACATGAAATGTCAAGATAATGAAAATGAGCCATCATTAGGTTTGACGTTTAATATCTTGTTTTTCTTAACTACCTCAAAATTTTCAGTAAGTATTTAAACTATGTGACTGTTTGTGCCATCTAAGTTAAAAACGCACTTTTTTACGCACACGCAAGAACATTACTACTTTATAATTCTGCAGATCTTACAGAACCTTTTTGCCGCTGTATCGATGTTTTTCCCCAACCCCTTTTTAGCCCCCCTTCCTCCTTCTAAATAAATTAGAGAGGGTCGATAACCTGACAGTCAAAAAATATTGAATTGATTTTTAAATAATGGTTTCCTAAGAATATGTGGTATAATACTAATCATTTTTATTTTGTTAAAAGGGGGTTCACTTTTTGAATCGGTAGTCCGATGATGTGAAATTATTGCTTTAGATATTAGGTATAGGCTTGAATGAACTTACTATCGAAATGATAATAATTTTATGAATAGTCACAAAAACACATTAAAAATACCTTTGCAGATGGCTAAAAAACCTTCAGCTTGTGGTACTAAGCTTTTATTACTTTAGTAGGTAATTAGCAACATACGTTTATTTGTTATAATCTCTGCACAGTTTAGTTGATGTTTTTACAAAACTGCTAGGCAAAAGCATTTAGAGGTGCTAATTACTGAACTTATGAGGCCGGGTGTCGCAACAAAAATACTTATGGTCACAAAGTCACGGTCCCTCTAATACACTCGCGAGCAAAAGTATGGAATCACATACATGAAGTTGTTTCCACGCGATCTTGTGTACTAACGAATTTGTTAGTAACAAAAAAGTGGCACCATTTTAAAGATTAAACTTTTAACTTTAAATTGATACCAAATTCATTTAAATCACACCGTATTTAAAAAGATATCCTGGCTGATGTGAAAAGTAACGAAAAAGACATGTATCAACTGTTTGATAAGTCGCGAGTTGCGGCCTATTTAGCCCATATAAAAGCACGTGTTTTCGGATTTTTGATTTCACACGTTGATCCATTACACATCTCCGCTTCTTTTGACACTTTACCTGGGATTCTACACCTTCAGAAGCAGCACAAATCGTTGCACTATTGCAAGAAGGGCTCAGCCAGCGGGCTGTGGCACGTCAGCTCCTCATAAGCCAGTCCTGGGTTTCAAAAGTTTTAAGACGCTTTCGGGAGACTGGTGGCTTTATCCCGAGACCAAGTTTTGAAAGCGCCGGTGCACATCGCAGAAGGATGATCGTGTTTTCATGTCAACCTCTCCACTTTTTTTGTTACTAACAAATTCGTTAGTACACAAGATCGCGTGGAAACAACTTCATGTAAGTGATTCCATACTTTTGCTCGCAAGTGTAGTTACTGAATAAATTAGCACTTTATTTTCTACATACTTTGTAAGACGTCAACAGTTAAAGTATTCTATTTTTTATTGAAATTGGTTGGTCCTTTCGTGCGGATGGTTGTTTAAAAAACATTAGAATCTCTATCTCTACATACAGAGCTTCTACAATAAGAATAAAACGAGCAAAAGTAAATGAAGCTGAGTAGTTAAAAACTAAAGTAAAAGTGATACGATTTACGAGAAAACTTGATATCGGAGGTGTCTTGAGCCATATTCATCAAACAAATGCAACCAAAACTAATAAAATTACACCATAATTTATCTAGCTACTGTCCTTGTGTAATAGTTTAGCTAGAAGCAATTAAGCCAGGGCATAGGCGACAACGGGAAGGCGGTTTATGGGGCTCTAGCCAAACAGTCGTGACGCGGTCATATCAGGTGAAGGTCAAAGACAAGCGTCAACGTAATCACCGCGCGTGGCAGCCGCTTGACCGCTACGTAAAGGACTTGCCAATATTAGTCATGTTTACAATAAAATAAAATATTATTGGCAGGTAGCTAGGATAAGATAGGTCCTTAATTGATGTTTATTGTCCGAACTTTTCATAAAGGTTACTAAACCTTTGTTTGTCACCTATCATCCGCTTGCAATGGAGGAAAGTCGAACCTTAACTTCGAATTCCTCATTTGTTTTTCTGATTAGTTTCGTTGTAGGTCCAATGACAGTTTAACTTTCCCTCGGGAAAATTGACCTTCTCTGGTTGGGTTTTTATTGGCGCTCTAGCTGTAGATCCTGGCTACACATGAGTTGCAGCGGTAGGAACGAGAGGTGGGAATAGTCCCGTGTCTAATGCAAAAGGGCATACGAAAATAATATTACTTAATTATTTAACAAATGAAGCGACGATAACCCAACAGTGAAGGTGTTGGACTAGCCGACTCGTGATCGGAGGAACGCGGGTTCGATCCCCGCTGCCGCCGCTCGGCTATCGTGGTGAATCCACCCGGGACACAAGCATATTTAGGGGGTTAATTGCTAATTCTTTAAAAAAATAAGTAGGTAATTGGATTTGTGTTTAGGTTTCATAGAAACAATAGTCCAAAAGACAATGGTGATCCAAATTCCGACCCTCGGATCGAAAGCAACGCTGACACCGTTGGCCCAACTGTCATCAGAAAATAAAGATTGTTATTTCACAAATTACTAATAGTCCCGTTAGACCCTCGTACTAAACTAAGTTAAGTATGCTTGTGTAGTGAGCTTACCACAATAGTCGAGCGACGACGGGGCGCGTTCCCCAGTTCACAAGTAGGCCAGTCCGACCCCTTCACCGTTCGGCTATCGTGGCTTTAGAAAATACTCTGAACTGTTAGAATACACAATATTATGTAGTACTAAGTTACGTGTAACCTCCACAGAGGAGGAGTACTCGCGCATGCCTCCCGCCAACCACCTGGACCACTTCGACCACTGCGTGCAGCAGCCGAGAGGCACCTTCTGCACCGCGCACGCCGACCTGGTCTCCGACGGGCCCAGCGAACTGCTCCACATGATCAAGGTAGGAAGACACTTTCGTTTCAGCCGAATGACGTCCACAGCTGGACAAATGCCTCCCCCAAGGATTTCCACAACCGGTCCTGCGCTGCCCGCATCCAGGCACTTCCCGCGACCTTCACCAGATCATCGGTCCATCTAGTAGGGGGCCTGCCCACACTATATCTTCCGGCCCTTGGTCGCCCGCCACTCGAGAACTTTTCTGCCCCAGCGGCCATTAGCTCTGTGAGCTATGTGCACCGCTCACTGCCACTACTTGATTTTAGCGATTCGGTGCTCTTTATTTCGAACCAGACGCAGGTTAGCATACCACCCCTACATTTTCAATATTCTACTAGCTCGCACTAAGCATTTCTGCCTGCTTCTGCTTCTTTCTTTTCTGGGCCACTTCAAGGCGAAAGTTTATAGGCACTTACAGAGCAGGTATTACCATCCTAGACTGCATCTCACTTAACATCGCAGGTGCGATTGCAGTCATATACCTGCTTTGTGCTCCATAAAAACTAAACTCCTAAGGCCCCACTTCTCAGCACCAACAGACATGCTACACCAAAGTTAGTGGTAGGGCATTTAGGGCAAGCTGTATTTGACCGTTGGATCTAATTTAAAGAAGCGCATAGTTATGATAGTGGTGTAAGGAGCATGAAATATTGGCTTAGAAAAAAATAAAATTAACCTTTTTAAAAGGTAAACTGGTAAAGTTAAGATTTGATGGTTGCTCATTAACATGGCTCTAGTGATAATTTAATGAATAAATCAAAACAACTAAAGTCAAGGCCTACGATTGCAAAACATCACAATAAATTATACTAACGATGTAGAACAGACATCACTACAATATCCTCGTAGCCAAACTACGTCAATTTTGACGTCATTGACCGGTTTTGGAGACTTGACCCGCCTCTTGTAACTCTGACTTTTTATACCTCATTGATGCGTATATGACTTGAATTTGTTATTGATTTTGCTGAATTAATTAGTAGCTAGCTTTAGGTTGTATCAGGTATATTACCTAGCGACGGTGGAGGGGTCAGAGGAGGCGACAGTATGATCGCCTCCAGGAGCGACTGTGGTAGTGAAGGCTTTGTCCGGAATCCCACAGTTCCTTCCCACTTAAGGCGAATGACGGAGCACCGGGGTCTTTTAGTGGGTATGCCTTTGTCCTTCTGACTTGGTGAGCCCCACATAACCTACCCTGTCCCCGCAGGATAGGTATGCAATTGAATGCATTTTTTCCCCGAAAAAAAAAAAGGTATATCACCTAATGGTAATCAGCACTAGAGACGTCTATAACACGTAATAGTTTATTATGAATTTAAAATTTTCTATCAACTTTTTGCGACTGTTCCTCTGGTAGAGTCATAAACAGTGTTACGCTTTGTTATTGAGTCTTATGGGATTTTTTATTTACTACTCACTCCAGCCTATGTCAAGTTCTACTATTTATTACACCAATCTTGTAGCAATAAGGAAATACTGTCCTGCCTGTAAACAATTTTGCGAAAAATATTACCGCCAATTAGTAGTCACGTGTTATGTGCCCATTAATTAATGTTTACACTGTAGAGTCTATGGAATATCCTTTGAAGATGTTTTTTTGTATCTTTCATCAATATCATTTTAGCTATAGGACGTCCACTGCTGAGCATAGGCCTCCCCCAATGCTTTCCATGTTGATCGATTGGTAGCGGCCTGCGTCAAGCCCTTCCCTTTGTATCTTTATTAATTTAAATTTTTTTCATCTGCTGTACATAGGAGGGAATTTGACCGTAGCTTCGGCTGTCTCTTATTTACTTCCGATCAGAGACGAAATCACATGTAAATGATAGTTTAGCCTGTGGTTTAACTTTCATTGGTATAAGTGGACAAGCTAAAGTTCTGGATACACTGGAGTTACATTGGTCGGAATAAGATGTTGGAATAGTCCCGTACACGCACTGGTATAAAAGTTGAGGTGAAAAAAACAAATACAAAATAACATGTCGGCCGTTTGGTGTAGTGGTTCAGAACGGACTACTATGCCGAGAGGTCCCGGGTTCGATTCCCGGCCGGGCAGAAATTGAAATGATGAATTTTAATTTCTGTAACGGGTCTGGGTGTGACTATGTATTTTTATAGTTATACCTTGTGTGTTCCTTTTCTTTCTGTTCTTATCTTTGGTGTGCAATAAAGTGTATTTATTATTATTATCTTTATTAACTTTGGTTCTTAATTTTAAATATTTTTTTACTATTATTATTATTCCTTTATTCATCTTACTTTCTTATTTTTAATTTTTTCTTTTTACAATGTAATTATTATCAAAAAATAAAAATACATTATAAAAACAAAAATCTTAAAAATAGTTAACCCGCTGGCAGCGGAGCAGGGCCCAGGCTACCGGTGGTCAGGGTCACAGGCTGAGGAACCTCCGGACAATGCGTGCCGTGCTGAGGATCACCGCCTTTTGAATCTGACCCTTGAGCCAACCATCTAGCGAGAGCTTCTTTAGATGTTGGTCGAAGCTCTTCGCTATTAGCCCGTNGGTACTACCAGATTTGTAGAGCAAGGTGGTGACACCGGTAGTCATGAAGGCTGGAAGGGACCCGAGCTCGAGGGCTTCTTGAAATTGTGTTGCTAAGCGGTCATGTGAGCATCGAATCCATTTAATCCAAAAGTTGTGCAATCCGTCCGGTCCAGGGCTCTTCCAGTTCTGGGCCGTACTGATTGCACTACTAACGTCTTCGGGGTCTATAACAATAGACCCCATAGATTCGATGGACTCACATTCACGCTCAATTACACGCATCCAATCACCCTCCGTATGTTCAACGGGCATCGACCAAATGCCACGCCAGAAATCAATCATGGTATTGACATCTGGCAGCTGCCCGTTGCTCACACGTTGATCAGATCCCTCCCATCCCCGGTACACCCTCCTCTGGTCACTTTGGAAGACGCGATTTTGCCAGTATCTGTTCACGCGTTCTTTATAGCGACGAATACGGTTTGCCCATGCATAGACTTTTTGCTTTAGGTAGTCAATGCGTTCTGTGACACATGCCATGTAGTCCTGAGGTAGAACGCCAGTCCCAGCAAAGGCTTGTGCCACAAAACGCATGANTAGCTTTGCAATGAGAGTTCTGAATGCATTATTATTATTATATTTATGTATTTAAAAAAAAAGTATATAAGTAGTATATCCGTTAAGCTAGCACCCATAACACAAGCATTAAGTTGCTTACTTTGGGGCTAGCTGGCGCTGTGTGAAATTGTCCAAAGATTTATTTATTTATTTATAACAATAAATGGATTAGAAACCAGTCTTATTTTATAGCGCGAATAGGACATAACTAATTATCCTAGTATGTTTAACGAAGTACAGTAAATGATCAATAAATGCCACGTGTATTCGTGTGGGCATGCAGTTGAACTTTATTGCAGTTGATCTTTTGGACCTTTATCTATGTTTATTAAACAAAGTTATTTGAATAGTTTATTCTATGGTTTTACTAGCATTTCCTGCGGTTTTTTTGATAGAGATGATGATTTTTTGGAATTTAGGGGATTAGTCTCAAAAGTTCCAGAGATTTATGCCCGTTTTCTCCATCAATCCCTAATATTTAAGTAACCCCTATGAAAACAAAATTCCTGATATGTGTTACCATAGGGGTCACTTAAAAATTAGGGATTGGTGGTGAAAACAGGCATTAGCAAACATAGTTTACGAAAAACATCAGTATCTTTTTGAAGAGTAAACAAACTAAGTATTATTGTATTGTTGTTTATAATTTTGTCGTTGTTTTGTTGTGTATTGCAGTTGGTGTACCTTTATTAATAAAATAAAATAATATACCAACTTTATGACGTTACTACGAAATGACGCAGTTCCGGAGCAACCAAACGTATACTTTGAACCCTTGTTAATATCTCCATATTCGCGCTTGTCTGTTTCAGAGCAGACACGACAACATCCATGTTACTTAAGAAGGGTCACGGCATATGTACAACAATATTTTTCTGGAAAAAAATAGATATTTTAATTTATTTTCTTATAATTTATTGAGAATCCGCGTAAGTACCGACTGTCAACGTACATGGTATCTACATTGTAGAATTTTTGTAATGTTGTTGTTTTTTACTGACTCGTAGTATGGCTCTATGTTTATGCCATCTTTTGTGCTTGCTTAGCTAATTAAAATGGTGATTAATTTCGGTAGCCTTCACAAAGTTGTTAAAATTCTACCCTGCTCACGTCATATATTCAAAAAACACCCATTAAAGCGCTTATTTGACATTTATCATATAATAAAAAGGTGAATTACCGTTCTAAATGATTGAGTGTTAAATGACCATCAGGACAAATAATGTTTTTTACATGTATGAACATGATTTTTTTTTACATATTTTGATAGATTGTTGTGCCATGATAGTGTGTTATGTTTTTTTTATTTATTGTTGTTGAAATCTATATGCCTTTATGTGAGTGCGAGAGCTTAATGTAGTAAAATCTTCATTCATCTTGATAAACGAACTACTTTCATACTTTTATTGCGCACTAAAGTCGGAACTCTACTTGAACGCATGTCTACGAGCTACGAGTTTAATAATCACTGTCACCACTAATAAATCACCGAATAGTCATAGAATACAGGGAAATACCCTAAAACTGGTTGGTTGTTAGCTAGAGCGTGAAACTGACCCATAACAAATATGACCATAACGGCACTCGATCTACGCAGATAATTATATTTGCCTAATGCATTCCTTTTCCTATTGTGTTCCTCAAATACTCGTAGTTACCTATAACCACCAATACCTCACCATTGACATGTGGCATGTACATGTCACAAGTTAAGACAGGGACCTTTTTGGTCCCCTGCTGCAACGCCGCTTAGGTAATTTTGCCGATGCCCTTCTTCTGACCTTATTAAAGATATTACCTATCTTGTGACTGATTTTGAAATGTTGCTATAAGTATGTACCTACATATTTTCAAGTAGATTTTGAAATGTTGCTATAAGTATGTACCTACATATTTTCGTCGAAGAAGTGGCGCTTCTCTTCCTAAACCCCACAGCCAGAATATAACGCCCCAGATCTATACTGGGCTCGGGGATAAATATTTATTTATTTTTATTCAAAAGACTTTATTGCACACACAACAATGTTCCGTACATATTGTAGTTGTTCCATGTTCAGTTATAGCTTATGTTATGACCTTACAAAATGAAGCAATTTATGATTATGAAAAACTGTGAAGCAGCATTGGACTACCCAATTTACGCTAACTACCATTAGTCAATCCAAAAAAGTCAGTCAGTAATTGTCTTAAATAGCTTGAGTTGTTGTCTCGTAGCAAATGATAAAAAATCTTTTCATATGACTTTAGGAACTAGAAGACTATTTTAACATTAGGCCCGGTTGTCACAAAGGCGGAGCGGAGCAGAGAAATGTCTTGAACAACCAATCAGACTGATGTCATTCAGATTTAATGAAATTGATAGAGTGAATTATCATCATCATCATTTCAGCCATAGGACGTCCACTGCTGAACATAGGCCTCCACCAATGATTTCTACAGTCGTCGGTTGGTGGCGGCCTGCATCCAGCTTTATGAGGTTTTTTAAGCATTCCGGTACGTGACCTCCACTCCAGAACCTTGCCCCATCGGCCGTCAGTTCTGCATACTAACTATATGCCCTGCCCATTGCCACTTCAGCTTGCTAATCCGTTGGGCTATGTCAGCGATACTAAGTTACTACTAAGTTACTGTTAATACTAAGTTAAGTTAATACTAAGTTCGCCTAATGTTACAATTTTGGCATTGAAGTATAAATAAATACCGGCCCTTATTATTCTGTTCCCCTTTCCAGGCTTACTCGGCGCACGTCACCACGCACTACAACTACACGAAGCTGAAGTATGGACTGTGCCTGACCCAGACCTGCCGCCAGTTCTACAACGGCAGCGAGAGCGAAGACGACCTCAGAGTGGCCACGGAGGCCTGCCTTAACCACACCCTGGCTGCCGAGTATAATCTTAAGGCTAGGGTCACGGAGGTGAGACAAAATCATGCTTCTATCGACATCTTACAACTGCGCATCTTGTTGACTGCGACTCCCTCGCACTCACCCGCACATTTGCCCGCGTTCGCCCCGTTCGTACCAGAACGTCGATGTGACGTCACGGCCGCCAGATGCGAAGTTAACTCGACCGGGATGTACGGTATACTCTAGCGATGGGCGTTATTCGTTATCACTGGTTATTAAACGAGTGATTAGCCTGACCAGTGATCACTCGTTATCCAAAAACGCCTAGACTAGTTTTTTTCTTAACGTCATACAACGTTAGAATCTCTTCGTTATTCAACACGATTGTTTCCACAACGCTCTGAAGCTAAACTGAATTCACTCTTAAGCAAACAACATAAGGTAGATGTTTGGTTGACACAAAAAATAACGTGTTTCCCGCTTCGTTATGACAGTTTTGAGGACAACGTCGTACATTGACAATTCTTGAACATATTTTTTGTAACCTAAAGGAGTAAAGCGAGTAATGTATGGTGTCCAAATAATAAGGATCGCAACGAATCGAGTGCGTGTGCGAGTGAGAAAGCTATAGGACGTTAACATAAGTGTGGATGAAATAGGTATAATCTTCGTCGTATGTTAGATAGTCAATCGAATTTGAGTCTTATTTTGAAGGTCATAAGTTCCTAAAGGCCTTGCAGCTAACCAAACACCTAACGTTATTATTATCACTCTTGCTTGAGCGTTGTGGAAATAACTTCGTTTAAAAAAAACTAGTTTTGAAAACGTTATTCGTGATTCGAAAACCGTCGCGTTTCGTTATTTCAAAAACCCATCACGACACATCTTTAGTATACTCGCGTAATAGCTGATTTGCATTATCTAAAGATTTTATAATTGTATTTTAAACGTCACATCACCAAAAAATATTATGTTCAACTTTGTAATTTTTTTTTCTATCGAGATAAAAAAGTAAGCTCAAAGGCCAAATCTTACACATATTATGAAATGTCATATTTGCATAGAAAGACGTTCTAGAGCAAAAAATATTCACTCTTAATTTTCTAGCGTTTTACAAAAACTTAATTTGCCTTTTGCATTGTGACGGTCGCGGTAGTAAAATCAATATGCATAATTTAATTATCCATCAGTATTTAATTAATATATTTTAGTATCCATGCACTTAGTACTAAATGTACCCAATTATTGGTCTAAATTATGCTGAATTTTAGTGTCAGCCATCCTAATGAGATCGTCGGTCCATCATACTGTGACCTCCCAAACAAAAACAATAAATCTTCGCTTCGTAAGTGGAGCATTACTTTGTCAATATAAGATCGTTTCATCAACGAAGACGCGTCCCCACCAATTTTTGGTCGAGGGAAGCGGGGTGCCGGGAGTTTGATCCGAGCAATCCGAGCGTCATTATTGTAGTGTGCGTATGCACTCATTTATAATTTAGCGTGTATAACAAACATTCGCGGAAGAATGGTGGGGCGCGTCTTCATGGATGAAACGATCTATAACATTGCGTTTAAAACAGCTGAACTGCTACTTCGAGCACAAGAGCAAGTACTCGGTGGACTGGCTGGACCGGCTGGTGGTGCTGCTGCTGCTGGCCATCGTGGCGGCCAACGTGCTGGGCACCGTCTACGACTCAAGTAGGGACGAGACGAAGCCAGGTACGTTCACAGCACACCAGGATACACCTTCTCCTCCTCATCAGAGGGCGTAGTGTGTTTACTTCAAACGCATTCGATGTCGACACACTGCGCCGCGCTCCGCCGCGGTCCGCGTGACATCATATAAAAAATCCCGCGCGCAAACGCGTTGTTAGTGTGTTGTGCCGCGCGTGTTTTCTATACAAACTGAGGTAGTACTTGCATACAATCCGCGTACCGCGGCGGAGCGCGGCGCAGTGTGATCATCGCCTAAATGTATGACGGATTGTATAGCGCCCCTAGCGCAAGGCATTTTCTGGAGAAACAAATTATCTTGGGACAAATGGAAGGCAGACGCGCTCGGGGCAGGGCACCGACGAGATGGTCGGATGCGGTGAGGAAGACGGTGGGCGGGAGTTTGCATCGTGCGGTCCACACAGCCTATGACCGCAGTCTGTGGAGGAACACTATCTGTGGTCTCGATCCTCATCAGTGAGGGACCGAGGAAGAAGAAGAAGAAAAACTACATATATTTTTTAAACGCAGTCGATGTCGAATGCGTTAGTCGTAAACTCACACTACGCCCTCGGATCATTTAGTCTCTATTGCAGGAACACGACCCTTTTCAATTTAACAGAGGCAAACGGAAGAAGTGGTCTACACTCCCCACGTTGGCCAGACGGGTTGGGGAAGCTACACAGCCAGCCATTTTGTCGCAAAATAGCATACAACATCGTCTTCCATTATCCAAGTCTGTCGTCATAACAACAATTTTAACACTAAAAGCATTGTTGTGTTCCGGAAGATGGAGGTAAGATAGTCAGTCCTTCCGTTTAGGATTCCGGGTGAAGCTCGCTTCCATCGACTGAATCACATCACCCACCATCCATCAGGTGATATGTAGCCATGCAAGCCAAGCACCACTTTGTCCACATCCAGGGTAGCGCAGGAACGATCATTGTGGAAATTCGTGGGGGCCTTTGTCCAGCAGTGGACGACATTAGGTTGAAAACGAACAAAGTTGCCATAGTATTCCAAACATGAGGTTTGGCTAGCTACGCATTCACTACTATAATTTCACTGATATTTATATCAGTCAGTTACTGAAAACCACCATAATGTCGTCATACCTATTTGTCGTTTGTCGTCACGCCGGTTCTACTATGTTTTTTTTGCAAATAAATTAAGATTGTTTTTGTTTACTAGCCATTAATATTGATTACCTACTACTAGACACAAAAAATATTTATTATGCTCTATTTCATGTCAATATCTTAATAATTATTTTAGAACCGGTTCTTAATTTTTTTTTGATAAAATAACAACTTTAATGTCGTCATTTTATTTATTACATTAAACCCAGCTTTGACCATGAATCCAAACTAGTAGTAAAGAGTAGTAAAGCAATATGAAGTACACTTACTTCAAATTATAGGTATGTTTTCCGTACCCGTAGATTTATGACTCTCACGACTCACAAGGCTCTAGGTTCCATTTCCAGGTGGGTATTATAGATGACCTAAACTGAACTGTCCCACCAAACTCTTTGATAGGGGGACACCACCATCGTTCAACATTAAAATAAACCTTGTTTAATAGCCTATCTAATCTGATAATAAACATTTAGATAAAGTTAAATTAAAAAAAAACTTAACTTTATTTTTGAAACATCAAAACCTTAAAACAAAACAATTATTTTATTTTTAATTTTTGAAAAAAATAATAATCCGTGGATCCACCTAAGACTCTCCTGACACATCTGCAGCGGTTCTGCATACTCAAAATAAGGGTGTCAATATCCTGCTGTGGAATACTGTCCCAAGTCCTGCTAAGATGCAAGAAAAGCTGGTTTTCATGCACAATAGCTTCAGGGAAATTCCTAAGAGCTCTTCTCTGAAGCATATCCCAGGCATGCTCAATAGGATTTAAGTCAGGGTATTGTGCAGTAGGCCTAAGATGCGCGCCATGATAAGCGGTTATCACGCTATTTTATCGATTTTCCCCATACATTTTGACGTCAATAAAAGTTATCACGGCGCGCATCTTAGGCCTGCAGGCCAGTCTAAAGCTTGGATATCATGCCGTTGTAACCAACTTGTAATGATACGTTCCGTATGTGGACGGGCATTTCATTGTCGTGCATTAGCTGGAAATTTTGTCCCATTTGCTATCTGTGGGGCAAGATTACAGGCTCTAGAACCTCATCTCGGTGAAAACGGGCGTTAAAGTCGTATCACATAGCGTTTGCCTGCCCGCTCTACGTCGGGGAAAATCTTAAAAACAGACTATTTAGTTCATTACGAAAAATTTTAATTCATATAAATTACGTATAAATTAACACAATTATTGTAGAGAGAATCACATAATTCACAAATAAAAGCAGAACAATTTTCCACATGAAATTAAGTACCTGAAACAATCGAAAGATGGCGCTGTAGCCACTTAGAAGGCGGTGAACAAGTATTTTTTCCGATAAATAAGTAGAGAGTGTTTGTCGATTTGTTTAAAGCAGTCTTAATAATTTGTGACTCTAACTCATTAACGGGGTTGGTTTTACTTACATTATTTTTGGAAAGGTAAAAGTTTATCGACAGATCCGGCAGTGCCTGGCGATAAATTTTTACTTGCAGAATACCTAAAGTACGGCCAACGAGAAGCGATACCAAATGTAAACAATATCATTGTTATTTGGAATAGTAGGGGTGGGTCGCACCACCTATCTTTAACGGTAACTATGACGATAACCGGTGCTTTTTGTATGGATTACCACTTAAGATGGTGCAACCCAGCCTAAGGGTTTGACTTTGACATATTTTGGCGGGAGAACGAGACATTACGACAAATACACAAGATGGGAAGAGACAGAATAGATAGTCAATTCGAAAGTCGAATCGACCTTTTGTATCGCTTCTCGTTGGCCGTACTTTAGACTAAGTTGCTCTACCTTATTTTAATCGAAAAAATAACCGGTGCTCTTTGTATGAAGTTTGACAGATTTTTGACTTTATCTAAAAGTTTATTATCAGATTAGATGGCTATTAAACAAGGTTTATTTTAATGTTCAGGTGTCTTAACAAAAAGTTAATAGAATTTTAGTTATTTAGGTTTAATTGAAATATCCCTAGACCATGTTATGTGTGTATTTACTGTATTTTGAAACACGGAATTACGAATAGGCTACCGCCGTCGTCGCGTCAGTCTCTGAGCTATGTCAGACGCCCATCAGATTATTAAATTGACAGCAGAATATTGTGATAACCTAACACGAAAAACTTGATAGGTATATCTCACCGTGTCCTCGGTTTAAGGGACCTCACGAAGCCCAAACATATTAGTGGAGAAATGTTATGAACTATGTTGGGATCTAATTAACAATAATGAAATTAATTATAAATTCCAGGAAACCCTATGTTGCTGGCGTTCTCAATCCCCGGGAACTGGAAGCAGCTGATGTCGGACGGCCCCTCGGACCCCCACGTGGAGCTGTTAAAACCTCTGCATGGAATCAGGTATACATCAGGATAATAATGTTCCACGCAAGCGAGGAATAAGAGCGGGACAGAACAGACTCTCGCCAAAATATTTGCAATAAGAAGCTATCTTCACACACTGGAATTATACATTCACGTTGTTTCAGCCAAATGACGTCCACTGCTGGACAAAGGCCTCCCCCAACGTTTTCCACAATGAACGGTCCTGCGCTGCCCGCATCCAGGCTCTTCCCGCGACCTTTACCAGATCGTCGGTCCACCTAGTAGGAGGCCTGCCCACGCTACGTCTTCCAGCCCGTGGTCGCCACTCGAGAACTTTCCTGCCCCAACGGCCATCGTCTCTACGAGCTATGTGCCCCGCCCACTGCCACTTGATTTTAGCAATTCTGCGAGCTATGTCGGTTACTTTGGTTCTCCTGCGGATCTCCTCATTTCTGATTCGATCACGCAGGGAAACTCCGAGCATAGCCCGCTCCATCGCCCTTTGGGTGACCTTGAGCCTTCTTATGAGGCCCATAGTAAGCGACCACGTNTCGGGGGCGGTTATTGCCCCGTCTAAAACAAATTAGCTTTGCAATGAGAGTTCTGAATGCAATAATACGCCGCTCGATCCGTATTTGCCACGCGGGTGTCATCCCGGCAGGACGCGCTGCTCTGTCCGAGTCCGGGAACTGGACACCAGCAACACGACAAACCGCAATGGCACCACAATATAGGATCGAGTGGGTATCAAATAAATTTGCACTAGTCTGCATATATGGAATTAACAATGCATTCAGAGCTCCCATTAACGCCAAATTACGTCTATGAGTGGGCAAACGCGGTAGTCGAGGCCTAGAATCTGACGTGAACCGATACTGACCAATAGCGTCCTCCAAAGCCCTCCTCAATCGCTCACTCACCTGGTAACTTACACTACTCGGCAAACCCTCCTCTTCACCACCAGAGTCTACCCTCGCCGCTTGTGGTGTCGATGACGACACCGTAGGCGACGACGAGGCAGGGGGCTCTGACGTCAAGAGGGGAGTTGTCCGAGCAGACATCGCCTCCAGGCGGAGTCGATCAAGTACAGACTGGTCCAACAGCTTGCACCGTTGAATAGCCCGCACTTGATCCGACAGTCGTTGTGCAGAAACGGTGATGGTCGGCTCAAGGTTCTGAAACAAAGGCAGGATCCGATCACGATACGCAGTCAGGACGGTTCCTCCTTCTGTAGCCCCATAATAGGCGCGCATGCAGTTCTCATTCATGGTTTGAGTCCATCGCATGCGGCGCACTACACCACCGGTAGCGGGGGCCGTGCGCGAGCCAGGTTGCCTCGCTGACCCCAAGCGTGCCGGCAGCGGCGGACGTCCCCGTCGCGCAGGTCGTGGTGGCGGCGGCGGCGTCGTTGGCCCGCCCTCGTCGCTCGACGCGCCCGTGTCAGGGGGAGTTACAAACTCTTCGCCCGACGAGGAGCGCGGAGACGATGACGAGGACAGGGCGGGAGGGGGTGGTGGGCGTGCGCGCAGAATCATAATGTGCTGCCTGCCAAGGCAACGTCCATGTCGTTGATGCAGTTGACGGAATACATTTTTCCGGCACTCATGTATTCGACAAAAGTTATGTTCATCAGATTTTCGTTTCTCCTCGCCAGCTTCTCTTGCATTAAAGCTGTCGCTAACATAATATAATCACTATTTACTAGCTGCAGCTCGATTCGAGGGTATGACATTTCTTTGCGGTGCCTATTACACAAACACGATTTAGTCTGTTTGATAACACTGTACCTATTATTTTGCACAAACATAAATAAATTAGGGAATAACCCGATTTAGATAAGATTTTAACAATTAAATGTCCATATTTTCATAAAATTATTCAGGAAAATTTACAAACAAGACATGACATTGGCAGGTGACAATATTATTATTATTATTACACAGGCCTGCAAAAAAACAATTTTTTTTTGGTGCAGGTCTTTTTGTATATACGATCGATAATATAGGTAATCTATATATATAAAAATGAAACCCGTTTCGCGTTGTCACGGCATCACGTGTGAACGGCTGAACCGATTTCGATAATTCTTTTTTTTAAATGTTTGTGGAAGTCCAAGGATGGTTCTTACGGAAAAAAATATTAAGAAAATCTCTACGCTAAGGCGGTACGAAGTTCGCCGGGTCAGCTAGTGTACAATATATTGACATACTTTATTTCAACTCATCAGCTCTAGTTAGTCGACTACCCTCATTTTAGTTTTTTTCCCGTCTTGTTCGCAAATAGTCATTATTACAATGATATCATATAAAAACTAATATCATTGCATTATTACAATAACATCGATAAACTTTATGTTACTATTTAGCTATGGATAGTACGTCCAGATGTTGTGTTAACGATCCTGATTCATTTTGATAAGTTTGTGGTGAATACTACTGAAATATCAGCGTGAAACCATCAAAAACACGGCGAATTTTTTGTATTTTGCTTACTTCGGTATTGAAATTCAATACAAAGGTAAGGTGTAGGTGCCTCAAATTGTATGTATAATATGGGTTAAACATCTGCGAAGATACTAGAAAGGCACACGTAAGTTTTTGAAGCTTGGAGTGCCTATGATATGGAGAAAATGGCCAATATTTCCAGTTAATTTAACAGAAATTTCCAAGTTTAAGTACTGAAAAACTAAAAGCAGGTATATTTGATGGACTTCAAATAACTGTATTAATAAAAGACTCCACTAAATTTCAGATTTCTATAAACGATGCGGAAAGGTTTGCGTGGAAATCTTTTGTAGCAGTTGTACAAAATTTCCTGGGAAAGCATAAGGCTGACAACTATGTAGAATTAGTATAGAATGTGCTGGTTCAATTCAAAGATTTAGGCTGTTATATAGGTATAAAATTACACGATTTTAACAGTAAACTAGATCAATTCCAACAAAATTTAGGATAACTAAGCAAAGAACAAGGAAATCGTTTTCACCAAGACATAAATCAATGGAAAATAGTTACCAAGGAAGATGGGACGCTCATTATGATGACCGACTACTGTTGGAGAATCATGCGAGATTGCCCAAGTAAGTTTCATTCGAAAAAATCACTCAAAAGACAATTTCTTGGTGTTTAATGCTAATAAAAATACTAATGTGAAAATTGTTTTTTTAGTTATCTCGGGAACTAGAGCTGACTGAGAAAAACTGATTACATTTTTGATATCGCCATGCAAGACATACTTAAAATCAGGTCTTAAATCCCCGGCACCAAAATGGCTGTAGGCCAGTGTTATGTTATGACGTGATAGAGCATACAAGCACATTTGAATTCTCCCTGACGTTGGACGAAATAAATACCGCTCCCAAACCTCAGGCACAGACTGAGTTAAGTGGTAGACCTTATAATATTACTTACAGAATACCATAAAGTTCAAATACTGTAACAGTGTAGGTACCTACCATGAGTATGCTCGCTAGCGAAAACGTCAAAAATCTCTATGGAGATTTTGTTTCTTGAAAGTAGCCGCTAGGGGCGCTGCACATTATGTCATACAATTATTAATGTCATTTTTTTACGCATTCGCTAGCGAGCACACCTAACGTAAACTCATGGTAAGCACACAGATAAGACCAATCAAATAAGCAGCTACTTACTTTCAAAATGGGGTAGTGAAAGAAAAATTTAAATAGCTATTTTGTCGTAGAGAAGGAAAGGATGTAATATAGTCCTTAATGCAATATTCGCATGTTTGTTCTCTTTTAGAACAAAAAATGCGATCCTCCCATTTGTTGCTCTACACGCGTAGATTTATAACAAAACATGCCCCATTAACTCCTGGTGGTTTTCTGTCAGAACAATATGTTTGACTCTATCCTACTTAATAAAAAAATACGTAAGACTTTTCTTTATAAGTATTATTCATGTGCTAACAAGGATGGAGCGAACCGAAGACCAAATAACCCATACAGAACGCAAAAGTACTGAACGAATTTTAATGAAAGTTTAGAGTATTATTGTTTATACATCAAAATTCAGAATAACGTACAAGCTATTTAAAACGATATTGAGGAGACTGTCCAAATCAAGTAAATCGGTATTTTGAGACAAGCTGAACGTTGTGCGGGCAAAAGTTACAAGCAAATTATAATATCAATTTGTAATTAGTATAAGATTTTAAACTTTCGCGTTCCATTTCAATTCAAATAGTAAGATACTGGTCTTAACGCGACGTTTAATAATGACTTACATTATATACTCACGGCTTGACTTTTCGGACGACGCCGCGAACCGCCAGTCTGCTTGTGACCACGGCTGCAGCATCGCAGCCGAAACGTCAAGCCGTGAGTACATAATGTAACTCATTAATAAACGTCGCGTTAAGACCCGTGTCTTACTATTTTAATTATAACTATCAAATAAAACAGCATTAAATCCCGGACCCAATTAGGCAGAAAATACCTTTTTTCCACTAAACATGAGTGGCAGATACCGGAGGACAGCGGCCCTCGGCGCGAGGGTGGGTGATTAGAGCGCGCTAACAAAGCGGCGAGGGCCCTTAACCTACATGCTGCTTCCCTGCAGCTAGCGGCTAATCGCAACCAACTATTGCAGTTTTTAATTCTGCGGTCAGTTAAGGGTTTACACTTACAGCTACTGGGTGGACTAGGTGTATAACTCGCCCACTTTGACATCTATTTGTGCGTGATAGAGCGCGCTAACAAAGCGCCGAGGGCCCTTAACCTACATGCTGCTTCCCTGCAGCTAGCGGCTAATCGCAACCAACTATTGCAGTTTTTAATTCTGCGGTCAGTTAAGGGTTTACACTTACAGCTACTGGGTGGACTAGGGGTATAACTCGCCCACTTTGACATCTATTTGTGCGTGATAGAGCGCGCTAACAAAGCGCCGAGGGCCCTTAACCTACATGCTGCTTCCCTGCAGCTAGCGGCTAATCGCAACCAACTATTGTAGTTTTTAATACTGTGGTTAATTAAGGGTTTACACTTACAACTACTGGGTGAACTGGGGTATTTTACTGGCCCACTTTGACATCTGT